TCGAATTTTCGAAAATTTTATTTTAGATTTTATGATTCAGAGATTATTATAAGAGCATAAAATTTTTTCGAACATAACTTCGAATTGTCGAACTAAATTTCGAATAATTCGACATAATATTACATTGTCATCAAGTGCACACAATACTGAAAATTTTTAGGAAATTCGAGCTATGTTTACTAGCTTTAACAGCTTTAACATTTTTTTCGGACAAAAGTTCGAATTTTCTAAAATTATATTTAATTTTATTTTTATGATTTAGAGAATATTTTAAAAGCATACAAATTTTTTCGAAGATAGCTTCGAATTTTCGAATCTAATTTCTGCATAATTTCAGCAAATTCGATCGATTGTATCAGTGGTAAAGAAATTTTACCAACTTACTATTAATCTCCGTTCAAAAACGATAATTTTTAATGTGTTCTAAACGTAAATATCTCATAATGAGTTTTATAATTAATTTCAAAAAATAAAAATCATTGCCTGATTTTTTTGGGATTAGGATAACCCGCCATTTTTCAAAATGAATCCCGGGATTTGTTACAAAAAAAAATTGTTTTATTTTCTTTCTTGAGCCATAATTTTCATTAGTTTGATAATTACGATCTTATTTTTTTATTTTTGACTTATGCAAAACAAAATTCAGCACAGCTAATTTTATACATATTTGAACATTTTATTTTTTAAAATGGTATGATTCAATTCCACATAGTACATATGAATTGCTTTATTCATTTCGTTTTTAACACATGTTGGTCGTAGATCAAAAAAGTATACACATTCTGTGCCTGTAAGTTGAAAACACGAGCTAGAAGAATCATTCTATTTAAGCTGCAAATTTGGACCAAAATTGACACAAGAAAACCGAATAGGACCTCCTCTGAAAATCACATTGATGCTCATATTAATATCAATACTTTAAAATATTTTGATGGTGGGTATTTAATTTCGGCACAGTCAAATACAGACTATATTTTTCAATACTAGAAGATTTTGCATTTCAAACTTTCTTCAAATCTGAGTGATCCCGGTAAAGGTAAATTACCTTATTCAGAATGTACATACAATTTTAAATAAATACTACAAATATGTTATAAGGTGGTTTCCCGGTTTAACGAAAGATAAAATGTCAGGCCCATTCGTAAAAACGAAAAATTCGTTAAACCGATTCTATGATTTAATGATAAAAATAGGGTAATAAATAAAGGTAGGAAGTCTATTTTTTAAATATTTTTGAATGCACTAATAAAGTGTTTGACAATTTTCTTGCATTTTTATGCAGTATTCAAAAGATAAAAAATTATTTTTTTCGTTAAATTTAGAATCAAAATTATAGATTTTAAGAAAAATTTTATTAAAATTAGGTAATTTTGTTTACAAACAATTCCATTTTTCACTTTATTAGTAAAATAATCATAATATTCTCTTAAATAAAGTTTTTATACCCACCATTTAAAAATATCGAATATATCGATCGAAATATTGATCATAAATCCACAAAAGTATACATATATATTCTGGGTCCTTATTAAATTCTGAGACGATCTAGCCATGTCTGTCCGTCCGTCAGAGCTAGAGAGTTGAAATTTTCAACAAATATTTCTTATAGGTAAGGTAAGGTATTTGGTATTGAAAATGGGCAATATCGGTCCACGTTTTCGCAAGCCCCCATACAAATGCACCCATATAAGAAAATGACTTTAACGCTCACTACTGGCTTAAAAATAAGAGTATAGCGCTGAAATTTGAAATAAATAAGTTTCTTGGGAGCATAAGTCTCTCTACCGAATTGTATGAGAAACGGTCCATAATTGACTCTACCCCCCATAAATGGATTCCATTTACGGCATACAGTTTGATGGTATGTATATAAGATTCGGCATAGTCGAATATAACACTCTTCCTTGTTTATATAAAAATATATGTCTATTTCACAAATCTTGCAAATACAAATCTTAATAGATTTTTTTGTATTTCGTCATATGAAATCCAAAAAGCCCTAAGTTACATTGAACAAATTTTTCAGGAGAAGCAAAAAACCATCTAAAATGACAAATTAACCAAAAATGTTCAACGTTTTCTCAAGTTAAGCTTATTTCTTATTGACAAATAATTATTTGAAGAAATATTTTCGTTTTTGTTTTACTTACGGAGATATGAAACTTACGCCCTTGAGAATATGTTTTTTCTGAAACCCAAAAGGGGATAAGTTACATTAAAAAATAGTAAGTTTTAACATTTTCAACTAAATTCAATTCGTTTTTTGTTGGTCAAATAGGCCGAAACATGGAAGGCATAAGGCTTCTTTGTTTTCAAAACGATTTTTGGAAATTGGAATTTTTCTTTGAAAAAATTCTAAAACTGTTAAAATAATCTCTTAATTACAAAGATTCGCTAAAAGTGAAATTTTTGTTTTATTTGATGCCAACTTATAGATTCGAAGTTAAAAATTCAAAAGAATTTTTTAAAATTTTCATGAACTTTAAGGTAATTTTAGAACATAACCTTTTAGAATTTCTTTGATAGGGACGTGTAAAATTTAACAGGAATATGTACTTTGATACGGTGCATCATAATCGTTTCATATGACGATTTGTAGATTTTGTACCCATTAAATTGGGTATTGAACTTACATAAAATATTAATATGTTATTGCTTTTGGTTAATAATGAAGTTTAGAGTTCTCTCCGTATTATTTTCACCTCTTTTTAAGAATTTTTTTTTAAGATTCGTTATATCGAATACAAAATTTACTCATTCGTAATATAAGGTGATATAAGGTAAGGCGAATTCACTAAACTGAGTATTCGTTAAACCGGGAAACCAGTGTATTTCAAAACTAAAATGTATTTTGTGTAAAATTCCAAATATTTTTCAAAGAAAAGGTTCTAAATTGATGTTCGAATAATTGAATTGGGCTTTGTTATAATTATTAGTTTACATGGAACAGTACATATGCGGTTTTAAAAAAATCTTACTTAGAAAGTATGTAGTAAAAAAGTTTGAGAAATTATGAAATTCTAATAGTTTTTATTTATAAACTGAAATTAATTGGATTGTTAAAAATTAAACAATTTTCTTTACAAACATGAAGACTTAAAGATTTTCATATACAAAATAATTAAATTTAAGTAATACCGAAATCCCGAAAAATCGCTGGATACCGAAATATTCCGGGGTCCCGGGATTGCAATTTTCAAAATCCCGAATCCTGGGATTTGTAAAAGCCAGTCCCGTTTTTCATCCCTAATATGTATGTAAATTATTACACTTATTATAGGTCACTGTTGTAATTCAAGCTTTAAACTCAATAAATATAAAATTAAACATATGTAAGTTGATCTGGTATGTAAAAACTCGTTAAATGTATCCAGCTACATTTCAATGAATGTAAACTTATCCAAGTTACTACACCGGTGTTCACAAATGAATGCTAGTAGTTAGGTAGTGAATGGTTAACCAAACATATTTTCTATAGGTACACAATTTTTTTTAAATATTTTAAAGGTATAGTAATACATACTTTTAAATTTCATTATGTTTATTTTTTTATTTATCTATTTATTTATTTGTTTATTTATGTATTTATTGAATAGTTTTACACTAGATAACACTGTAAAATTTAGTTTTATAAGTAATATTTATTTAGTTATCCTTATTTCATTTTGTCATTTCAAAAATTTTCCTTTCTTAATATGTAAATATGTACCTATAATGAAATAATTTTTTAAACATATCAAGTTATTCACTAGTAGGTAGGTAGGTATGTATATATTAACTATTAGTAGTTAACTAAACATACATACATATTTTATATACTAAAATTTAATAATTTTTTATATGTACAGTAACACTTTTAAATTTCCTTATTTTTAATTAAATATTTAATTCATTTTTATTTATTTATTTCATATTTTTCACTTTTAAATTTTGTTAATTATATATTTATTTATTATTTATTTAGGTATTTCATAGGTATTTTTTTCTTTTAAATATTTTTTATAGGTATAAACTAGTTTATTTACATACATATATACCGACATATGTACTTATCTTGATAATATTTATTTAGTTATAATTTTTGAATATTATAATTTCATTTTGTCATTCGTTTTCATTAATGACATATTTTTTTTAGAACATAAGACACAATATTGCACATCACATGTAAAAACCAATAACTACACAGAATAGGTATTTACTCCAATTTTGTTAACACGTACACATCTACACATAAATAATGGAATGATTGCATGTATATATATACATAGATGCCTACATACATATATACGTATGTATATATTTCTTATCATAGTTGGTATTTGGATGGAAGTATTTACAATTTTTATATTACAAATTATAAATTTAAAAATTGATTTCTTTCGATTTTCTTTTTAATGGGCACTTTATACTCCTATAGAAGTACATGAACGAGTTATACAATATTTTTTGACATATTAACGATTTTATAAATCATACATTTTTTATCCACAAGATGTATTATTTTGAAAATAAACAATTATTTTTAAACAAATATGTAGATACATACATATGTATATTTATATTAATGTACACAGGTATATTTTATGTATTTGAAAACATATGTACATATGGTGGTATGCATTTATACCATCAAGTAGTGGTTATTGTTGCTGATATTTATTTACCGATATTTATTAATACGTTTTTATATGTATAATATGTATGTATATTTTTGTTTATATCCATATTACAAATGATTAATATTTTATTTTATTTGTTTTAATTTATCTATTAAACTCACTATATTTATGTAGGTAGGTATAAAATTTATACAACAATCATCAGACTGTATACATAATTTGAAAACTTCACACACTGTATTCAAGAATTAAAACTGGTTTTATATGTACATATTCATACATAGACAACAATAATTCACCAATAGATATGTATATATTTACACATTTCTATATTTATTATTTTTTGGAATATACGCAACATTAAGATAGAAAACCAACCTTTTTAAGCACGTTATATATATTTATGTTTCGACAATATAATTTGTTGCAGTTTCAATTATTTTTTTATATAACTAGTTGTATGTACAAAAAACGACGCCCTTTATGTCACAATTCATACACGAACCCCATCAACGACTACACACGCTGAAAACAAATGTAAAACTGAAATTCAACCATTCAGATTACTACAATATAGTTAAATTTTAATTCTACATCGTACTGTATATTATGTACAATTGAATTCAGCACTCTCTTCTCTCTCGCTCTTTATAATTTGTACTGTTCCCAGGTACAGTGATGGCTTTGCAGCGCTTTTCTCGATGTCTTTCTTTATTCTTTAAATCATTGTTGATAACTTATAGCCCATTTACACTACAACGAAATGTAGTACTGTAGTATCTGGTTGATTTTAACTAGATTTCCCATGCAAAACAAAATATACTACGTTTTTAGTGATGCATCTATTTTTTCCTTAATAATTCTAAAAAACAGGTTCTGTTTGAATTTAATACACTTGTATGAGTATTTTTGTTAACATAACATAACAAAAATATGAGAGTATAACATTTATCCGAATACATCATACCCTACCGCATTGCGATAATGTTGCAATAAGTTATATACCTCGGGACTTCGATTTCCGTGATGGTCGGGACCGGAAGCATTCTGTATAATCAATTTTCCCCGTTAATTGAGTACCAATTTTGACCCGTAATTAATACATATATTTTGATTAATTAATAAATGAAAATATACATATTTATATAAAATCTAAATAATTCAAGGATTTTAAATACATTCATGTTTCAAAAATATAAAATTTTTTTTTTTTCAGAAAACCAAGAACAGTAGATAAGGATTTCATGTTATTTAACGGATAATAGAGGTAATTACGGATAATAGAGGTAATTACGGATAATAGAGGTAATTACGGACAATAGAGGTAATTACGATTAAACGATGCAGAAAAATTTAAGTCGGTCCAAAAAAAATTAAGTCGATGCAAAAAATTTACTTTTTCTATCCCGGATAATTGATGTTGCCGAATAATCAAATTATGGATAATCGTGGTTCTACTGTAGTAGTTTTTATACCCACCATCAAAAAAGATGGGGGTATATTGATATTGATGGGGATATATATATTCTGGGTCCTTGTAAAATTCTAAGACGAAATTTTCCCAAGCTATTCTACATTGAAATCAGAAATGTTTGGTATTGAAAATGGGCAATATCGGTCCACGCCTTCACATAGCCCCCATATAAGTGACCCCCCGGAATATTGTTTAAATCGTTGTAAAAGTGTTAATTTGCCAGTAAATGTAATGAAATTTCACACAAGTATGGCTGACATTCCCCTATAACTGACCCTACCCCCCATAGAAGCCCTTCAGAAAATGACTTTAACGATCACAATTGGCCTAAAACTACCAGTATAACAATAAAATTCGACGGAAGCAGGTTTAATAGGAACATAAACCTTTCTACTGAATTTAATGAGGATCGGACCATATTTGATCCTATCCCCCATATAAGGTCCCCTTAAGAAATTGACTTTAACTTTCATTATGGCTTAAAAAAAACGAGTACTGCGATAAAATTCGACATCAACAAGTTTGTATGAACCAAAGTCTCTCTACAACATTTTATGAGGATCGGCCCATAATTGACCCTACCCTACATATAAGGCCCCCTTCAAAAAGTTACTTTATCGGTTATAACTGGCTTAAGAATACCAATATAGACTCTGAAACTCGATATGAACAAGTTTTATGGGAACTAAAATCTACCTACTAAATTTTTAGAGATCGGTCCATAATTGATCATGCCCCCCATATACGATCCCCTTCCAAAAATGACTTTAGAGCTCATAACTAGCATAAATGTAACAGTATTACAACGAAATTCTACAAGAACTACCATGCGGAACAATTGATCCAAAAGTACCTGTCTCGTGATATGTGAAAATAATACTATTAGGTGAAAACAAAACTTATCTCCTGATTAGAACTGACTCAAATCTAGTCTATGGTGATTTCTTAAAATTATAACACCACATTAATATGGCGTTAGCCTAGGAAGTGACAAATATTGAATAAATTTAGGTTTAGCAAATTGATTTAAATCTATTGATAAATGCAGGAGACTTTCAGACATGTTAAGTGACATGTTTTCTTTATACCAGTTAATTTTCCGAAATAACACAGGTTCGCTGAGGTAAGTTCCGTGACATGTCACAGAGTATGAAAAAGGTGTCAATTAACCCCCTCGTAAGACATCGCTATGTTAAAGTGACAGGTTCCCTCCATATAAAGTGTCAGAACTAGAACCGGTCCCTATCACTTTAGCACTAGCGCTTGACATGTTTTGTGTCAGTTCCTACCAGTATAGTAGCAAAAATCGTCCGGATTAAGTTTCATATCTCTCTGGCAAATTTCATATGAATCGGTTCATATTGAATCCACGAAACCATATAAGGTCCACTTCAAAAATTACAAAGGCTCTCATAACTGAAATGAAACATAATCAAATTTTATAGGTTTCAAAAATTCTATTCAATATTGCATATGTATCGGTTCATAACTAATATCCCATATGTAACACCTCTCAATAAATCTTTGAAGCATTTTAGTGCTTCAAAGATTTATTGTTATCGATACACGATAACAAAATTTATCATCAAAATATCTAATAAAAATGTAAAGTACAAGCTTTGATGGTGGGTATATAAGATTCGGCACAGCCGAATATAACACTCTTACTTGTTAATGTAGAAGTTATATTCAGAGATTGATGTTTGCTTAATTGAGGAATGTACTGCTCAATATAACAATATATAGTCAAATTTTCGTATATATAAAATTCGTTGAATCGAATTTTATAAAGAGCCTATTTTGTATAGCATGTACCGCTTACAAAATATTCAATAGGATAATTCATGGACGTAGCGACGCAGGTGTTACTAACTTTAATACATAAACATTCCCATTAATGTTGTGTAGGGTGTATTTAGACTGCATTTGAGCTACTTTAAAATTAATAATAACCGTTTAAATCAAACGTTTATTTAAGCATTAGCACTATTCCTTTGGCAAAATAGCCCTTGCTGCTGCAATAAACATTGCTAAAAGTGATGTTTTTGCCATAAAATTATTGAAAACATTTTCAGGAAAAAACTAATTTTTCAATTGATTTTATTTGTTATACCCTACACCACCATAGTGGGGAGGGTATTTTAAGTTTGTGCTGATGTTTGTAACGCACAAAAATATTGGTCCTACACCTACCTTAACGTATACCGATAAACTCAGAATCACTTTCTGAGTCGATTAAGCCATGTTTGTTCGTCTGTCCGGCTGGCTGTCCATGTAAACCTTGTGCGCAAGGTACAGGTCGCAATTTTCAAGATATTTTGCTGAAATTTAGACCAACGAGGAAGCCTATTGAAAATGTTTGAAATTGGTCCATTATTTCACCTAGCCCCAATACAACTTAAGAATAATGTTAATATTGTAGTATCTCTACAAAAATCGGTTAAACTTTGTTCTATATACGTCTTAATAATACTACCGATTTTCGTAATTATCGGACTATATTTTACCCTAGCCCCCATACAAATTCCCCTTCAGAAAATGACTTGAAGGTCAATAATTCGCTTATAAACACTAGTATCACGATGAAATTTGGCACACATAACTCTAATGTAAACGTAAAGCCATGTACCAAAATTTTATAAGGATAGGCCCATATTTACCCTTGCCCCCATATAACCCCTCTTTTAGAAAATCACTTTTTTCCACAAATTGTTAAAATATTTCGGAATTAAGGTAAACAACTTAAATGCTTTATTATTAAAAGTAATCCACATTTTTAACATACTCAATGGTGTAGGGTATCATATGGTAGGCAATGCCCAACTATACTTTCCTACTTGTTTTAATATTATTTTCAAGTGTCAATATTGGCCCAACCCAGCAACCACAAAGAGTTTATTTAAAATTAAGAATAATTTTTAATGAAGATCTTCTTACATTGACCAACTGATATTGAATAAAAATGGCTAATTCAAACGATTATTCCTAAAATATCGAACCAAAATATTAAAACTTTTTAAACGATAGAGTTTGCGTTTGTTGGGTTATATATTTTTCAACTAATTCATTCTCACGACTTAGGTTTTTGACAGCAGACTTAGGTTTTGTGATATTCAGTTTCAGTTCTATGTATACCTTTTCTATGCTAAAAATAGATTTTCAAATTTTTTTAGCCTACATCAGATCAGAAAATATTTAATAAACATATTTTCGGACTTTAAATCTCTTTTTAGAAAAAATTTAAGTTTATTTTAAATATTTTTTTCATTGTCAATACAACTTTGTTTTTTTTTTCATTTTAATTTCAACACACAAAAATTAATTGTCAAAAAAATTTAAAAAAAAAAAATATATTTTTTTTTTTGTTTGTTAAAAATAAAAATATTTCGGGTTGTTAAAAGTGGAAAAGTTTTGAAATATTGTGAGAGAAATAAGTTCTCTCAAGTGTGTTGAATTTACTCAGAACTCGTCTGTGAAGTATTTCCTTCACTCCATTGTTGTAAAACAATGTCATAGTTCAACTTCTTTACATTCATTGTTGCGAAACATGAATGAAAAGTTAAATAAAATATGTAGAAGGTAATGTAATATTTAAATATCAATAAAAATATAATTTTACGACCCTATAAAGTATATACATATACATACAGTTAATCACTTATATACAGAAATACTGACGATTGGTTTTATTTAAAAAAACATATTATTTTTTCAAAAAACAAGAACGTAACACATTTATTTATTAAAAACAATTATGATAATTATTATTCACTACTTTTTATACCCTACACCACTTTAGTGGGGAGGGTATATTGGGTTTGTGCTGATGTTTGTAACGCACAATAATATTGGTCCTATACCCACCTTAAAGTATACCAATCGGCTCAGAATCATTTTCTGAGTCGATTTAGCTATGTCCGTCCGTCTGTCCGTCCGTCTGTCCGTCCGTCTGTCCGTCCGTCCGTCCGTCCGTCCATGTAAACCTTGTAATCAAACTACAGGTCGCAATTTTGAAGATAATTCAATGAAATTTGGTACATGATCTTCTATTGTCCCAGGGACGAAGCCTATTGAA